TGGAGACATTCAAAACCAACCTGGATGAGTATTTGTGTGACCTATCGTACGTGTTCCTGCTCTGGTGGGGGGGCTGCACTTTTGTGGTCCCTTCCAACCCCTAACATTCTGTGATTCTGTGATTAATAGAACCCAACATCGGGAGATCTGACTCCAAGAACATGGTTAATTTCATGTCGGACTGGGGCTGGACTGGTGCTAGACTGGCACTGAGTAGCCCCCAAAACATCAGTATAGAATCATAAAATAGAACCATACAATGCATTGGGTTGGAAGAGACCTTTAGAGGTCATCTAGTCCACCCTTCTGTCAGTGAGCAGGAACATCTTTAACTAGATCAGGTTGCTCAGAGCCCCATCCAGCCTGACCTTGATTGTCTCTAGGGGTGGGGCTTCCATCATCTCAATAAGGCTAATAACAACAAAGAGCTCAACAGGTAAGGGGATTATAGCCCAAAGTACACATTTTTACATTAGCAAATGCAAATACACATTTGCAACTTCCAAACACAATCCATGACATTTTCTGAGGAAATACAAAACCCAGTCGGTATTTACAAAAGTTTCCATATTCCGTGCTTTGTGTGAAAGGGGATATATGGGAATATGGGAGCAGATTATTAGCCAGGATAACAAAGGCAGGAGAAAAAATAAAACAGTGCAGCCCTAACAAGTGGATTTCACGTTCCTCTTTCCAAAGGAGTCTGAGATGTACGAAAGTTCTCCTTAAATCTGAGGTTTCTCTGAGGTAGGCTTATCTGTGTATAACTGCATGAAGCACATGACCACCAAGCCCCTGACCACTTATTACCTAATACAGACAAATCCTCAATTAAGAACCTGACACCAGAGACAAAAGTTACTATTACAGTAGCTACAGAGTGATGAAATGGAGATATAGTAGTATGGATCAGCTGCATGGGAACAAGCTTTCAAAAATGTGGATCAAAGTATGATGTAATTACCTGAAAAGTAAGCTGAACTTGTGTAACTTTCTTCTGAAATGTTGACTGATGGAAGTACTGTAACGCTTCACTCGAAGCCACACGCTCCAGGATACTCTGACTATTTCTCTCAATCAGGGACAAATCTTTCTTGCAGTTTTCTTGATAAGCTACCAAATCCTGAAAGAAAGAAAACAAACATATATCCACCCTGGCCAGGAACAAAGGAGAGAAAAGTTTGGGAAAATACCTGGAAGATTTTTTTTAACGATAAGAACAAAAGCACCAAGGTTAAAGCACTATGAAAAACAGACTACACAAAATGTTATATGGAAGAACACAGACCACACAACTTGGGTTAATATGTCAACCTTTCTTGCCTTTTAACAAATTAACCTTTCATGATACCTATTGGAATTCAGATTTCATTACAAATGGTATTAAGTGAAGAGAATTATACTTAAAAAAAAAGAGAGAGAGAGAGAAGAAAATAAAACATGCATGTAGTTGAACAGGCTGAAAAAAGGGTTGAATAAAAAATCCTGTGGTGAGGAAACTGTTCTGCCATTGAAGAAACACTGCATCCCTCAGCACAAATCTCTGTTGATTCTCTGATCAGCAGAAACCAGCACCCTCCTTATAACCAAGGAGGTTTTAGTTCCTTGGATGGCAAATTACTGCAGAAGAAACATGTCTTTTTATTGTGACATTCCATGTCAGGTTTACCTGCAGAAGCAGAGGAATGAACCCCTCTTATGAGCTGCTTCTTAAGCAGCAGGTTGGACACAAGACTCAGATGGTGTTCAGAAACAGAAGAGTGTTTGTGCAGGATGATAAATGGACTGGCTTGATTCAAGCTCACTAGATAATTTTTTAGCCAAATACAATCAGAGCATGAAGTCACTGGAAGAGAACACCCTTCTTGTTGAACTATTGAGTCAAGCTCCAAAGTCATTATAGGCTTGAACTAATATATATATATATCTAATTCTTCTTCTTCTTCTTTTTTTTTTCTTTTGTAAAGGACTCTAAATGGCTTTGAAAGGCTTCAGCTTCCCATAAAAAAATTCATTTTATTATATTGCCTGTCAAATGCAACTCTAATGATATGTGCACATCAATTCTGAGGGGCTATTTCTAGGCTATATACCACACATACACAAGGATACACGATTCCTATGCAAGATCCTCATATTTTCATTTACCTTTCCAAGGGAGTTTTGACTAGCTCTGAATTCCTGCAGACTGAAATGTTTATTGGTCAGGTAGAAAAATTAATGTCCTAATGTTATAATTAATGCACTTTAAAGATATCACTTCCAGACTTCTGAGAAACTTCCATAATTGTCCAAGAAAACCTAGGGAAGTTCTGATCACGTTAGTTCATCTGCTTAATAAAAAAATCCAATGTATTTCTGATATTTCAGTCTAATTTCCACTAGATAAAAAAAAAGTCTCATGTTTACCTCTTGGATTGAAATCACAGGCATTAGGAGGGAACACAGGTTTCAATCTTTATATACTTATGCCTAGCTGACTTCACAATAGTCTACATTTGTTGTCTGAACATGAAGAAACACTTGCTCAGCTTACCGTATCGCAATTAAAATTCCTAAAAGCAAATTGTAAATATTCAGAGCCAGCAAATCTTTGTAAGATGATTTTGAAACTTACTTGGGCTTTTTGTTTAAGAACAGTTGTAGGTTGTGCTTCAGGATCCAGGATCGAAATGATTTCATTGACTTTTTCGAGAGATTCATAAAAATGTGTGATTTGTTTCTCCAGTTCTTCCAGGGGAGGCAGCAGATGCTGGCATTCATAGAGCAGGGTACAGGAACAGTCCTTAACCTTCGGCCATTTTAAAGAAAAGTAATTGTTAAAAAAGTAAAATTAAATAAATATCAGCTTCCTCTGCATGTGGGTTTATACAGCTGCTACCTGCCTCTCTTAAGATAGATCCTGTGTTACTTCCTCAAGAAAAGAATATTAAATTTAAGGATGGTAGTCTTGAAGTCTAAAAGAAGTAAGATTTTCTACACCCTGAATTCAATCTCTTCTTACTATTAACTACGTATTTGCTCAGATATGTCTGAGTATTTATTTAGGAGAGCTTATTATTTATTAGTTCAACAGTCAACAACATGAGTAGGAAAATTATTCTGCAACCTTGCTCAGCTGCTCTTTGATCCTTGTCAAAGTTCCAAGCATTTCATTCACTTCCTCTTGGGGAACTTCTTTTGTAACAAGTTGGGCTGTTCTTGTTACCATTTTGTACTGAGCTTCCATCGCAGGCAATTTCTGCTTAATATTCTGAAATAAACATTTAAAAAAATATTTCAACAACAGCATTCATGCTTTCATGGCAGTTATAAGATTGTTCTCAAGAGATAAAAGATATACATTCCAATTATCAATTGTCTTCATTGCTGATTTTACTGAATACTGGATCATACTTAGAAATATAGTCAGCTCACCTGTATGTGATTTGAAACTAGACAGAAAGAAATATCCAGTGGGACAGTGATTTGGAAATATGATCTAGAAGTGACACTCACAGGATATACAATGATTTATATTAGCTATACAGAAATTATACAAAAAAAAGTACCACTGGTAAAAAAAAATCCAGTAAAAATGCAGAACATATGCTAAAATAATTTTATGCTCTCAGAACTAAATATTTACAAGTTTCTCTTATGAAGGACAGGGAAAGGAATGGAAGAAGGACACTTACTTCAAGATCTTGTACGAACATTTTGACATCAAGGAAAGACACTTCTACAGGGACTGCAAATTTCCTGTTGCTCCCATCAATAAAAGCAGTCAAATGAGCAACACCATCCAAGTATTCCTTCCTCATTTTGTCCAGTTCATCTGCTCGAGCATACTAAGAAAATGTAAAGTAAAAATAAACAAAAAAAACCCACCACCTCAAATGGGCTATCTAGCTATTGAGTAATGACTTAGGAGAATTAACATATTTTCAGTGCAATCATTGGCTGGAAAAATTGTACTCAAAAACATACAAAATAATGGGAACTCATCCTCGAAATGAGTTAGACACTAATCACCTGCATTAGTTTCAATAGTGCTGATATTAAAAAGAACAACATTCACACAACAGGTCAGCGTTTTCAAAGTTTTGATTATCTGGAAACATTAAACTCTCATCTGTGTCTAACCTAGAATCAACGTCTCAATTATTTTCTCGTTACCTACAGTACTAAATTTGAAAATTCAACAGAGACTAGAGCATGAAAAGACTAGAAAAGCTGAAGTGTATGGGAGATCTCAGTAAATGAACTGCTGGCTAGAGCAAAAGGAAACACAGATCTTATGAAGTGGAAAGTCTTGTGTGACAGAAATGGTGAAAAGCCAGAGAGGAAAACCGTATAGTCAGCACATGGAAAAGCTGCACAAGTAGGGGAAGAGGCATTTGCACCCTGGGCATTACAGGTTCCGCAGTGAATCACCCTAAATACCATCAGCAAATAAATCTTGACAACATTCTAGTCAATGGTTTGGAAAAGTTACAATGTAAAAGAGACAATCACTATTTGCATATCCATTTAACTTGACTGCAATGGAAATAATCGTGCCAGTAAAGAAAAAGGATTCAGCATCTTCAAATAGGCAACTGCTATTTAGTCACTGGAAGGGGAAATATCATTAGATGTATATTGACTACAGTAAAGCCATTTTCTAATGTGTTTATGAGGTGTGAAACACATCTATGGAATTTTATCTCAAATCTTCCCTTTGCTTTTTAAAGAGCCAATATAGAAACAATACTTCTTTTCCTATCAGTTGAATCTCTTCCATGAAACAAAAAATATTTTTTTCACATACTATCAGTGCCTCTTTCTGCACAAGATAGCGTCTTACTGATCTCGGGAAAGCACTTAGTTCGTTAATATGCCTTGCACCCGCTTATGGTGCAACTCATTAAAGAGAAATAAAAATACTCACTTCCAACATTTCACTGTTTAGTTTCACAGAGCTTACAATAACAATAGTTACCTGAAATCAATCATTTTCTTTGAAGAACAGCAGAGAATATGCATAAATAGTATTTTCTGTGCCAAGACTGGACATCATAATCAAAAAATACAGCTTACACTAGCTGAAAATGTGCAAAAATAAAAATTTGTGTAACTAAAAGATAAAGAAATGATAAAGAAAAGAGAAACTACCACCACGGATTCATTTCTAATTTAAATAACAATGAACAGGTTGGTACTTTAGCAGTTGGCATGTAGTCCTGCTAGCAGGGCAAATTTGTCTTGCTTGCATGGAAATGACAAAGTAAACACTTAAAAGTAACAACAACAAAAATATACCTGCTTAACTTCCATAAACAATTCTCTCCATCTTCCATTTAGTAACAGAAGCTGCTGTTTAAGGTCTCTGGAAATAGTCTCATCACATGTTTCAATTAGAAAATTACCAGCATCATTCATGGCTGTGTGCTGTTGGATCCAATGAGGTAAGTGCCGGAAGAAATCCTGAAGAAGAAAATGAAAATAGCTTTCTGAAATTTTTTCAAATGGCCTTTAGCTTAAAGACTACAATTTAATCAGCAGCTAATGCCTTGCTAAAACTCTTCGAACAATTATCCTCTGAAGCTTTTCATATTGAATATACTATAATAAAATTCTCACCCCCGGGAACATAACGTATGGAATTAAAAATTACCACCAGTTTACTTACAGCTCATTTTACTCCAGTGAGTAGCTTCACTTAAACTAAGTCCCCTTTAAGAGAACTGAAAACACTTTTACGGCTCATTTAATTTCTGTATTCTCTTGAAACAGTATGGGCTGGTAGTGTCTTGGTTTGAGTCTGGCTGGGCCTTTTTGAAAGTGGGGGAGAGCTGTGGGGGATGACTCTTGTGAAATTCTCAGACCCTCCCCAACTCACAGGTAAAAATCAGACCTGCCTCTGGCCAGGGCCAGGCCAATCAGTGCTTCTTTGATCAAGGTATTTAAGAGGTGACCCCATTGTTCTCTTTCTCTTTCGGTTTCATCTCCTCTTGAGCTGTCCTGTCTTTTGTATTGTGGAGTTTTTTCTGTTGGAGGAGGGGCAGGTGAGAGGAGAACACAGGAATGTGGTCAGTGAGAACAAAAGTGGGAAGAGAAGGGTACTGAAGTAGAACCTTTCCCTGGAGCCCCATGGTGCTTGAGATGGCAGGAAGATGACTGACTGCGAGTTGAGGGGATCAGTGGTGGCGAGAACATCCAGGATGTGTTGGTACGTGAAGAGCCCCATGTGAGAGGGGAGAGCGACCGAGCATCAGTGGAGGATGCGCCCAAAGCTGGGCAGTCAGCTTGAACCATGACAGGTAGTAATCTGGGCCATATAGAGATTGTAGAGAGATTCTTCCCCTGCTGTGAACCATTTGCAGTTTTCCAGCATCTGGCATCCCAGAAGACCTGAGAAGACTGATTCTTTATCGCTATTGTTCCTAAGGCTCTGTGACTACATCTATAACAGTAAACAAAACATAACTCAGTCACTTTCCTGTGGCTGTCCACATCTTCTCTGACATGGTTTTGGCTTGTCTCTGATACCCTTCACAGTTCAATGCACAATTCAATGGACAGCATATGACAAAGAATGTTCCCAGCAGACAGAATCACGAGGCTGCCTTCTTTCAGGGAAGAAAGAATAACCATAAGGATGCAAGCTGAATGATGCCACTTTGTTCCTCAGGACTAAGGAAGGGGCACAGACCCATTTTATCTAGGACTACTGATGTACCCTACAAATCTAAGACTGTTCATCTAACAACGACAGTCCCATCCAATCCTTTGCTCAAAGGTAGATGTGAAAAAGTCCTGTCCAACTGTCCCAAGCTTCCCTACAGTTCTGAAACTTTATACTTGCCAGAACTCATCTACACATAAAAACAGTTCTGATATAGCCAAACAGGAAACATCAAACAGATATATACTGCTCAAATTTGTTGAAGAGAGAATTGAGCAACACATATTGGTTTAAATTCCTAAAGCTGAATTTAGCAAAGTACAAGTGCTCTGTACCAATGCATCAGTGAATAAATTCATTTCAGTAAATTGTATGTGCAATTTGAATCTTCTCCTACTCTTAGTGGAGCACAACTCTTGCTTTGTGCTAAGACTACCCTCTGTGACCACATCCAAAAGAAACTAATTCTACTGAATCTGGCACTGGTCATGCTTACTAGAGGTCAAGAAGGAAAAAGTACATGGAGTAAACTACTTGTGTCCTTGCTCCCACACTTATTTCCACAAACACCATTACTTTCCTCAGACCTTGCTGGGGAGTTTCTCTATTTCAAAAGCCAGCCTAAAGTATGTCTAAAATCTGGAGAAGTTTGGAAGGTACTGTGAAGCACACACTTTTTTCCCAAGATTTTTCATGCCACAAGTTCACAATAAGGTTTCTGGAAACAGAAGCCAAATAGAAAGACAACAAGCCACTTTCTTTGGCAAAAAGAACAATGGAAGATAATGGAAAGAATAAAGCATGACAGCATAGTAAGGGGCTACTATCATCCTTGCCTGATATAGAATATGGTAGGTTTTAGTAATGCAAGTAAGGTTTGCAAATAAGCACCAGTGAAATCTTTGTATCATATTACTGATATATTTGTGGTTTTACAGAACAAATATTTGGAAATGTTTCTAGAATTTTGTCGCAGGCTAGGGCTAGGCCAGCCACTAAATGCAGACAGATGCTCTCTAACCCTCTCTCCCTCCCCAAACGGGAAGGAAAAGGGAATGAGGCAGAGAGACTTACAGATTGGGGAAAAAAAAATAAAAAATTAAAACAGCTTTAATGAATAAGGAAATGATTAAAATAGTGAACTACATACATATATACAAATCTGATATCAAACCTGACTCCCCCTTCCCGATAGCAATCCCCACTGATGCTGCAGAGCAGGTAGCACGGGGGATGTCCCAGGCTCAGCAGCAGAGAGGAGCTGGATTCAGGAACTCAGGATCAAAGGCAGAAGATCAGACGAAGTCCTCTCTGGATGTCAGTCATTGCAGAGGAGAAGAAAAGAGAGCTAAGCTCTCTTGATCCCTCAGTTTTATACTGAATATGACATATATGGAATGGAATACTCTTGTTGGTCACTTATCCTGTCTATAACTCCCTGGAGGTGCAACCTTTACTTCCTTGTGACCCTTCTAACTTCTCAGCGTGGCACACAAGAGCCAGCAGTGGCCTTCGTCACTATAGGAATAAGTATCAGCAAGAGCCTTTCTGCATCCCAGTCCCAGGTAGTAACTGTAAACACCAGGTGATATCACTGTCTGCAAAAACATGCTGCTAACTTCAGAAAGTACAGCCTCTAAGAAGAGACTGAACTGAGAAGTAAAAATCACTGAACAGAACTAGTTCTGTTTAGCTCAAACCAGGACAAAGTATTCCAAGCAATAGTTATAATCTTTGACCTGGGATTGTAGAAGCTGGTGCTGATGGCTGTATGACTATTAAATGTACAAACCAACCTAAGTATTGCTTTTGCCTTTAATAACCAAATACTAAACCTGCTAAATCAGAACTATTCTTGGAACTACTGAAGTAAATACTACTTCTGTAGAGTGCTAGATTCAACATTAATAGTAGAAGTAACTTTTAAAATATGTATCTCATTCTACAGGCAGATTATCTTACCTCTCAGTAATGAGTTCTGAGCCAGTGTAATTTTAAAAAGAAATGAGTATTTTGGGAAGAATAATACTTTCATGTCTAAAGTTGTCAACAAGGATTTTTGAAAGTCTTCATATACCAGAATGATAAGAAGTACTTGTTGGATTTAGGTTAGAAATCAGAAGCAAGTATATACTGCATGAATATATTGGGATTCCAGCTTTGATCATCTTTAAAAGGTAAAGTTAGAAAACTGATTAGAGAAGTAAATATTTTTAATTTATTCATACTTCATTTAAACGCTGCCAAGCTACTTACATAAAACATATACAAGGCATTAAGAACCTGAACAGCTGAGGTCATCCTTCCTGCTCAGTAATAACACCTGTTGACATTTATATTATGCTATACTATTAAATCTTTTTCATATGCTTATTTTCATTTTAGAAGTTTATCAATTCTTTGACATTAATTGATATTAACAAACTTACACCAAAAAATTATACTGTATTTTCATGTAACATGAAATGCTCATTTTGGCTGAAAAGCAGCTCCATGGGAGGGGATCTGGGAGGGCTGGTTGACAACCAGTTCAATAGAAGTGAGCAGTGTGCTGCTGTGGCAAAGAAAGCCACCAGGATGCTGGGGTGCATCAACAAGGGCACCACCAGCAGAGAAAAAGAAGCCATTAGGCTACCCCACTCAGTGCTTGTCATGCCACACCTGGAATACTGTGTTCAGTTTTGGTCCCTCCATACAAAAAAGCCGTGGACAGGCTGGAAAAGGTCCAGAGAAGGGCCACAAAGATGATCAAAGGACTGAGAAGCTGCCACATGAGAAAAGGCTGAGAGAATCAGGTTCGTTCAGCCTTGAGAAAAGAAGGCTTGGGAGAGAGCTTATCACCATGCTCCAGTATTTCAAGCATGGCTACAAGGAAGATGGAGACTCCCTTTTTACAAGGAGGTACATAGAAAAGACAAGGGATAATGGATACAAGTTAGTCCTGAGGAGACTCCAGTTGGACATAAGACAAAACTATTTCACACCAAGAACAATCAGCTGTAGGAATCACCTCCCTATATAAGTGGTAGATTTCTCAGCACTGGACACTTAAGCTTCAGCTGGAGAGGGTGTTGGGCAATCCTATCTAGATCATGCTTTTCCCAATAAAGATTGGACCAGATGAGGTTCCTTCCAACCCAGTCTTCTATGATTCCTGACCTGTTGTCAGTTTGACATCTTAAAACCTATGCAAAATATACTTTGGTGTTAAAAGCTGTATAGCTGCTATGTTGGAATTTGCTGGAAATGTAACATTTATTAAATGCAATATGATTCAAGTCAATCTGGGTCATTATTGAAGCTTCACAAACATAAATCATGTTGCGTCAGGACTCTAACACTAGAAGAGGGGGGAAAAAAAAAAAGACAGCAAAACTATCTTTATGACTGCAGGTCCCCGAAAGAACTGTCTAAAGGATTTCTAAAACACAAGTGTTAAATGGATAAATTATCCATCAAACATAGCAACACACATTAATAATACTGTCTTGTGGAGGCAACTAATACTGAAATATTTCATCTATATGGTGGAAAAAAATCATCGGGAAAAAAATTTTTTGTGTCTTTATATGCAGTACATGACTACATACTTTGGTGTTAAGAGTTGTATTTGCCTTTGAGTGAATCCTGTAAGATTCCTATCTCTGAGCCATGCTGCTGCCCTATATTCGTATCAAAGATGTCTCTGACCGTGTTATCACAGATGATGCCTTCCTACATTGTATGTATATATGCAAATGGTTTGACCTGATAATCTTGAAGGTCTTTTCCAGCCATAACGATTCTACGTATATGTCTGTACATGCTGTATGTGCGAACATTTAAAACACTGATGACGAATGCCAACACTATGGCAGAAATTGAAAAAAAATTCTCCTTCTTGTATGGCATTTTGTAAAACAACGTAAGCAAATGCAAAAACATATCCCATGTTTCACAATTTACAAAATAGCCAGACACATATGCTATTTGTGCATACCTTTTTAGAATGTTCAGGCTGATTCAGCATTTTTTCAGCATCTTCCAGCCATGCTTGCAGACCTGCCACAGTGCTGCTGTACCTGTCCCAATTAGCAATTACTTCTTCCAACATGCTTCTTACACTTCTCACCTCCACCGAGAGGTTCCTCCACTGCGCTGTTGTGTCATTCATGAATTTCATCACATTCTCAACTTCTTCCACTGAGACACAGGAAAGACATAAGTTATTTTGGTTCATTATTACTGTATGTTATGCTTATCCATTCTCATCAGGGAACTGTATTTTATTGTAAATCCTATTTCAGCAGGCTTTTATATACACATGCTCAGTCCACGGATCAATTTTAGGCAAAATTATGACTGAGAAAGTAAACCTGTGAATTAAAGACTAAAGAAAGTACATAAGATGAGTGCTGTATTAAACTGGTCACAGTGCATATTCAGTGGAGTGTTAATTTCTAATCTGTAATGAAAGAAATCAAGCGAAAAAGATTCCTTAAGAAAGCAGAAAATGGGTGATATGGTTTAGGGGTGAACTTGTAGTGTAGGGTTAATGGTTGGACTCGATGATCCCAAGGGTCTTTTCCAACCTGAATTGTTCTATGATTCTATGATATAACATACAACCACATATTATGTCTGCATTGAAAAGTACTGAATGGAAAATTGATCTTCCTTCCACCAATATCAAAACTAAACTGCTACTAGTTTTTACCATTAATTTTTAGTATTTTCCTCATGGCAATAAAGGAATAAGTATGTCTTCATTCCAAAATAATAAAAACAAAGAGAAGAAAAAAGACTCAAGCAAATGCTGAGATTTCATAAAACGTGCAGAATATAGATAATTTTAAAAAAAAAATTTAAATGGTGTCCTCTAATTTGCACTGCTGTTTCTGAATTCATATGAGTGAGTACTTGCCCTTTAGAAAAGGTTATTGGATATTTTTAATAGCATGGAATAAATCTATTAATTTTATTCTTTGTAAGAATACCTTGTAAAAAATGTTTTTGTTTGTAAAATTTAAGTGTCACCATCACCAACCCAAATTGCACAACCAGAGAAGATTCATTTCCTCTCTACATCTGCTAATCACTTTAGCAGCTGCAGCAATCAGCACAGATATTATTGTGTTATCTCCTCAGCAGAGGACAAAGTGATCTCATGTCTGTAACTATCTAGGTCAAATATTGCCCTCATGCATTCTCTCTGAACTCAGCAGTGTTCAGGAATTACAGGATGTCACTGTGGAATCAGCTACACATTTTCTCAGGCATTTCCATACCAAGTATCATTTGGGTTCCTCTTACAGGTTTTCATAGTTAATGAAAAATCTTCAATAAATTAGGGGTTCCTTTTGCTACTATAACAATATGGGGACCAACTCTCTATTTGTCTTTTTCTACTAAATGAGGCCAGGCCAGGGAGCATCTCCAGGCACCAGAATGTGATCTTCCCTACTTCTAATTTGGTCTCTAGGACAGTTTTGGTCCAAATTGACAACACTGAAACAATCCAAAAGTTAGCGTGGACCATGGATTTCTCCCACTGGGAAGTCTGAACATGACCAACCTCTTCTGGAGATTAAGAAATCTTAACAGCAGGAGGCTAGGTTGCTCTGTACAAGCTCACTTCATGATAGAGGATATAGGAAATTACTACCAGAGCCTGTAGCCTCCCTGGTGAACTGCAGTTGCTGTACCGTTCTGCTGCATGGAAGAAATACATATCAAGAGATATTATCAGAGGACACTTATGTCTAAAGAGATTCAGATGATGTCTAAAGAGATTCAGATGGTGTTCCCATGACAAAAAACACACAGGCATTTACCTGAGCCATTTGCTTTGGCGTACATTTCAGCTGCTCTTTTCAAGATCTGGTAAGTAACTTCATACTGCTCAAAGAACTTACTGTTTTCAATAACAGACTGAAAAGATAACAAAAAAATACAAGAGAAAATGAAGATAGATATCAAGAATAAGGATCATTTCCGTGAAATTACATCAGGATAGTCATGACAACGTTAAATCTTCATTATTCCTCTATTCGTTTTTTCATCATTATAAAATAATACTTAAATCATCATCACTATAAAATAATACATAAATTTCACTTTTTCAAATTAATGATACAGCAGTCTCCTTTTAGAAATAAAGTTTATTGACTTTGCTTATGGAAAGATTATTTAATATGTTCTTGGTCTGCTAGCTGCTGACCTGCCGAAATTCATTAAATGCGGAGAAACTTAGCAATTACTTAAAAGTTATTTAATGGAAATTATTTTACATGGAAATGTAATTGGAATAATTTTAATGAAAGGCAAAATTTCTTCCATATAGGTCACCAAAAAAATTAAGTCCAGCTAAACTTCTAAAACTCTTCCTGTACTGAGCCTTTGCAGAAAGGCAGGTTTCACTTTAAGAGACAAAAAGCATTTAACTTAACCTTCACTCTTCCTTTACTTCCTTGGTAATAAAAAGATTAAAGAAACACTGCACAAGGAGATGCTGCTTTTCCAAATTGTGACACAGGGCTTTTCCTTCGTGAGTGATGTTTTAGCTGCATAATGTGTTACAACACAATGAATAGCTTATATGAAAATATTCTGGTCAGAAAGTTATGCCTCTTTATCATTTATGTCTCTTTATCCCTTATGGCAAATGTCACTAACTTTTACAAATGTCTTTCAGAAATGTGACTTCCTTTAAGTGTGATATCTAATTATAAGTCTGCATTATGCAAGCATATTATATCTTGCATTACCACTGTTAAAAGAGGGAGAAAAATCTGATTTTTTTTATAGGGCTTTTGTATTGCCTAACCTATTGCACTTAGATAGAGTTTTGGAAAGGTTTTGCAACTTATACTACCTCCCATGCCTCCTTAAATAATCATCTACAAAATTAAGACTAATATATCTCACATATGTCTATATCAGCTTTGAAATTGTGTGTACTAGTGTGATTTTGGTAAAACCAGGTTTCAAATGACGTCAGTTCAATGTACTTCGAAGAGGAATTAGATCTTGTGTGTTCATCAACCCACTTCATATAAATATAGAGAACAGTTTCAAAAATTAATTTGCCAGCCGGTTTATATCTACAATCTTCTATTTATAGTTTTTATGTCAAATCACCACAGTTATCTAGTACCTAATTTAGAAATTTCTTTATAACCAAGGAAACTAGAAGTCAAGGACAAGCAGAATTTTTCTTTGCTCTACTGTTAAAAAAAAAATCAATCCAGACTGGCATGTATAGAGAACTACATGTTTTACCACAAATTATGTGAGAAACTCCTGACTTTTACTTTTGCCAAGACCCATACACACAGATATTTCTTCCTGAATCAAAAACTGCAAGATTTCATACCACATGAGAAAGTAAAAGACTGTATACCAAACATATAATAATGCTCACAAGGAGAATTGGAAATATTTTCAAAGACTAAATACAAACATTTTACCAATTAGTATTGTCTTCCATCTGACAAGTCCCTTAAAGAAAATATGTAGCTTTTCCAAAATCCATACAGCATATGGCGCTAAAAGAGTGCTAACACAGCAGTGTCAAAACACGGTTCTGAGGGTTAAAATCCATGGATAACTGTAAACACTATCTTCATTATAGCAGAGAATGGTCCAGTAAATTCTTCAGGTTAATGGTGTAAAATTTGTGATGACCTTTACTTTTTGTATACGACAGGCAGGTGAAAAGAAGATGAGATAAAACAACAACCGCTACTTCTATTTTTAAGCTACAGTACATATTTTCTAGGCATATGTTCCATCCGGAACCTAACTACGCATGTTCCTAGATTGCTGATGTTACTCAGTCTGTTTTGGCAGACAAACAAACTTACATTCTTATCTCCTACTAATATAGTCACTGACACTAAAGTACTGACTACAGCTCTCCTACGTAAGACCCATAACTTCCTGCAAGAGTAATGCTTGGCTTTTGATCCTAGAAAATTGTTCCCAGGTAAATCAAAGAAAATAAAGTCTCTCTTCATTACTGGACACCTCAAAGGAGCCAGAAGTCAAGGCTGTCAGGAATTAAACAAAACTGAGCTCTATTTTATCCTCTTGTCCCCATTTCCTCATTTTGATGTGATGTAGTTTCATAAATGATGCAAGGAAGCATCTTCTTTCCCCTAAAGACCACATCAGCACTAGTGGTCTGAAGCACAAGAATAATGGACACAAACACAAATTATCATACAAATTCACCACTTAATGTTCATTTTAAAGCAAAAAATAAGAGTTATAAAATAATAACCCAGAAGTCAAGGTATCCACTTCCTCATTATTTTCCTTATCTCCTCTTAGTACTTTTTGTTATAGTCTTAGAGAGCATACAAATGGACTACAACTCCTAGCTATTGCACATCACTCTAACAAACTATGTTATTTTAAATAACCCTCTCAGTTTTTCAAAACTTGTCTAAAGCAAGGCTTTAACTCCTGAATTTTTATGTGTCCCTAACTGCTAAAGTTTAAACATAGTAAGTGAAAAGTGTGAACAGGTCTTCAATTCTCACTTTGTAGAGGAACTTCTTTTCGTTTGAAGTTTGCTTCCAAAGTAATCAAAACTATCAGGCTGTGGGGGCATTAATAACTTTCTCTACACAGTGTCTTGGCTCCGAATGTTTCTGTAGCTGCATGAATTCTTTTGAAACTGAATTTTCTACGCAGCTTTCCTCGTATGGATTAGACAGAAGGGAAAAAAGCTATTTAGTCCAGACCTCCTTTTGAAAAAAAATCCCTCATGCCCCAATATAGAAGTGCATCAGTGGTATCATTCTATTAGCCAACTGACACTGCAAGTGTGAATTTAACCAGATACAGCAGAATGAGACCAAAAGGTAATATATCAGTGACCACTGGTAAGACAATAGTCTCTACTTCTTAACATAAGGACGGTGCAGAGCTGGAGTAATATCTTTCCAGAACAGACGTAAGTAATGGGTTTAATATACTAATGCTAAGCAGCAGAAGAAAAAGCATTCTTTAAAAGAATAAAATTACTCTCATATAATAACAGCATGACTTTTTTTTTCCCTTCATTTGGAAGACTTTAAAAAAATAAGTTCTGTGGGGGACTGCATGCCAACTACTTCCTCTGTCTCTACACACGCTGTGCATAGTCACTATAAAGTGCATCTGCACAGTTGTAAAAGAAGATGAAATTAAGTGCTTTGGAATTGCTGTCTAAGGTAAGTAAAAATTTAAGATTTGGAACCTCCAGATGCTTGGTAAGCTGATGGTTGGACAGTGAGCAGCTGAGACATTATTTCTGGTTTTGAACAGACAGCACAAGAAGAGCCACGTTCATTTTTAGCCTTTTGATGAAAGTTCCTCCATGGGGAAGATATAGCTACTACTGAAAAGACATTCCATAAAAATGCAGTCGTAAAGTTGATGACTGGAAAGCCTCACTTATGCTTCAGTGGGTTATTTTATTACAATTAAATATGTTTTTTTTTTTAAAAAAAATAAAAATAAGAAGACAACCACAACTTACAATATAATTTTGAAGCAGTAGTTCCACTGACTCTCTCCTTCCGTATTTGATAATCCATGACTTTAACTTTGATTCTGCAAGGACCAATAATGACAGTAGACGGTACTTCAGTTCCAGAAACTCCATCTTCAGCAGATGGAGCTCAGATGAAGAGACAACAAAATTAAACCTATAAAATGAATCACACTGTAGTAAAATGCAGCAATACAGCAATATGCATGTTTGCAGGAGAGACTGAAAGCTTTATTTACAGTTCAGATATTTTTCTAATCTTTCACCTAATTCAGTCTACAAACATTTAACTATGCATGATGATCATTCTGATGACTACTGCTGAATAGTAAATTAATTACATTTCTATTTATTCATAGAAATAATCAGTTTCCATTTGTTACTAAGTTTTGCAAAGTCATTTTTCTTTTCCTTTTTCACATACATCCTGGCTGTTGTTACATAACATTTCTTTGAGGAACAAGTAATAACAGGATCAATGCAAAAAAGTATTCTCTTTGAAACCTCACAACTTATTTTGCTTCTCATCAATCTTTAAAGCATCAGGCTTTTTGGTATATATTTACGTATATTCTAAGAGGTTTTTCCTTTCAATTTTTTCACGCTTGCCACTGAGAAACATAATTAGACAGTGATTTCTACACAGACCGACTAAAGAGCAAACAGGTTCCCTTTCATTCACGGAGGTTTTTTTATTTCAGATCGAAAGCCTTACCTCTCTGCCATATCCTCTAATTGGTCAGATGGAACAGGCACTCCGTTAACAGATCTGGCCCCGTGGATCTCGTGGAATGCCTTTTTGTGACCATCTATGCTTTTCAGCAGATCCTGATTGGATTTTAAGAAAGAGAGAGAGATTGAGAGAGTGAAGGGGGAGCAGGGGGGGGGAGAGAGAGAGAGAGAGAGAGAAGGCTCACAGTAGGCTATCTAACTGATAAGCACAATTTTAAGCCTGCACTGATGACTCAATATAGTTAACTATTTGATCATGCTTTCACATTTGCATGCAAGGTTACGCACACCACAAAAGCATTTACATCAACTTGAACGTTTACACAGGGAACCCCCTTATAAGATGCTCTGCTAAAGCTGCGTCCAATAATTACGGAAGATTTTAAAACACAGAATACACTGCAAAATGTTTAACAAGAACTCTTAATTGTATTAAATAATCCCAGAAATGCAGCCTGCAGATAACATCACAACAGCATGATCTTGCTAAATTTACTCTTTACATCTTTATAACAGATACTAACCTTTATTAAGCACAGATTCAAATTTTCCGGAACTAATCTACTCCGCTATATATAGAGAGAAGATCCATAGCTCCTTACGTAAGTACGTATTCAAATATTTAGTGAACTTTTCACTCCCTCAGCATCAAAAGATTTCAGAATCATTCTCTCCACATTACGCGAATGAATGCAGAATGTGGTACCCAACCTGTATTCCTGTGATAAGAATTCTACCAGTAAAAACCTTACAGCACAGCACATTTCAACTGTAACTAAGCAACACTGCTTCAAACGGCTTCCTGGAGATTACATATTGAAATGAATGACTGGCAGAAGTCTTTGAAGAGATACCGTAACAGTAACACGTCAAGTCCCCTGCGGCTGAGAGGACACGGAACAGTGGGTATTTTATTGCATACAGGCAGCTCCTGACACAGAGTGCTCAGAAGCCTGTTAGCAAAAGAAATCACACAAAGGTCCCCCTTTCTCACCTGAGGGAAAAAAATGCAGGCTGTGTACGGATCACAGGTGTCTGTTTAGTCCTAAGGGCTCAGCTCACCAAATGGCCCTACATCAGCAACCCATCTATATTTTACTTGCCTATATTTTTAATTGCCAGCACCTTGTGAAGAGAAACAAACCAGGCTTTCTCAGCTCCAAGTGATGCACTGATTTTATTATGGTGGAAACTCCAGTGAGGGTATCCATGACTAACATACTCTCTCTGTAATGCACTAACACACTCTCACGTATCCTTTCTAATACAGGCTCACGTAAAGGAAAGACTTGGAACAAGTACGTTAGCCAGCTGCATTTGAGACCTTGCCAGACAAAAAGGGATGTTCCTAACATGCACTGGTAAGTCAAAATAAAACCCAGAAGTTTCATCCAACATCAACTGGAAGCCCACAAAGACTTTAACATAGCATTTTCAGCAAGCACAGACATTGCCCTGAATTTCTAGATCTTGGTAGAAGTATTAACTAAAATAAATTTAAGTCCTTGCCTGATTTCATGAAGAATTCTCAAAAAAAGATGGTACTTTTTTTATTGCCTCCAAAATGGCTACAGGCTGTAAAGTTCACTAAAACAACCCACTGTCAGTTGATAAAAAGATATAGAGAAAGCCATGATGTTACCTGAACAAAACCATAACAAACAAACCCCAAAAAATTCCTGGGAAACAAGGACTGGAAAAAATACACTAATGCTTTTCTGGTACTATCCAACAGCACATTAGGATTCATCAATGCAAATCAGATTGACAAAACAAATTCCAGGAACAGATAAAATTACACATGCTTTTCTTGAAGCTTTCCCCATCGCACTCCCATGGGAAAACTCCCCTGGCACAGAATAACCTAAATCAAGTTTATTTGCTGGCATAGAAATCCCTCACCACAGCATTTCCCATGCAAAGAAAACACAGTTTAGGACACACTCTTTTGTGTTACTTATGAATGCATCAGAAAGAGGTCTATATTTTTCACATTATAAGAACAGAAGTGTTTGACTTGCTTTTTTTAAACAAATGTCAAATCTTATGAGTCCTGAAATATTTCATGTTAACAAGAAAGCCAATGAAATTTAGCATTACAAGAGATTAGACCTTGAAAGAAAACAGTATCTTCCTCATTGATTTTAATATTGTTTTTGTTATATTTTATTAGCCACCACCTAATTTAGAAGAGCTGCCACCACTCTCCAAACAAAGAGTAATCAAGAAGACCCAACTAATCTTCCAGATAAACTACCATTGTCTGTCACAGCTGTTTCAAGACAACCATGAAACTTCTCAGCTTTTCATTAAATGGTATTACTTTTAATTAAAAAAACCTACACGCTAAACACAAAAAATAACAAAAGTATGATCAAGTTTTGAAATACTAGTAACAGAGAAAAAAAGCAATGCAAACCAACACAGTCTTATTGCTGCAAGTGTAGTGCTTCTCTACACCTTCTTTCTCCTTTCTATGTTGTACTTACTGGTTCAATTTCTTTTATCATCTCACCATCAATTTCTGCCTATATTTTTCTCATATATGTTATGTAAAACACAGACAAACCTCAGTTTTGTTTTTAAAAGGGAACATGGAGTCAACAAAGAATAATGGTAAAGTTATTTAAATTTACACACACACACACACGTTTCCTCTTTACCACAGCAGAGGGCAGTTCTCATAATATTTGTCATCATAATACTATGAAAATTTATTCTATTTTTAACCCCCAGTGCCTGTCACCTGCACTGATTATCACACTTACTATGCTTGCTCTTTCTTTTCTGTTTCACCTAGTAAGTTCATATCGGTTGAATAATGTACCAAACTTACGAGCTCCTTATGGAATTTTACCCAACAGAAATCTCAGAAGAGAGGAACAATTAAAATATTAATACCTGATATCTTTTAGGTAGAAGACACAGGAATATTCAAAAGCAGTTTTGAAAAGTCACCACTGAAATATGCCTAGCTTCAGCTACCATCAAGATGACATCACCCACAGAAACGAGAATTAATAATCTCTCTAGAGTATGGATCATTTACAGCTTTGGAAACAACAGAACATAACACAGAGAACGAATGCATGTACATCTACCTTATGCTGTTCAAGCTTCCGGTGTATTGTATTTGCTGTTTCCTCATGAGCTTGGTGAAGGGTTATTTCTTCCCTCAGAGCAGCCTCTGCTCTATAGAGCCAAGCACCTATGGTACCCAAAGGTGCAGGAAGAGATTTATCAAGGTGTATGTGCCAATCAAGTAGCTAGGAAATAAAAATAAGAGGATAGAACTTCCATTCTTGCTCAGTTACAAAACACGTATCTTAAAAGAAATCAGACTTTATACTCTAAGACGCAAACTCCACATAACAGAGTGTGTTTGAGACATGAACCCAAGTATGTTACTTCACACGAGTTCTGAAATTATAGCATTCTCACAGGCAACAAAATCTCTATGTGGATTTGTTGATTCATGTATTTCTTTTCCAGAACGGTAATTGAGTTACAGAACTCAACTGAGTTACACATATAATTGAGTTACACATATAGACTGCAACAACTGACATGCTAAAGATACAGAATTTAATCAGTTAATAGGCAACAGCAGGGAATATGAGACCTTATTCCATTCAATGTCATTTATTGCATGTTCTGGCATAAAATGTTTACCTCTATTTTGAACATACTTTGTATGTATAAAGTGTAAATGAGTCTCCAAGGACTGTGGAGTCAAGAATACAGCAGCAAAATACCGTGTCTTATCTGCAATCCCAGTTATAGGAGTGAGAAGATAATGAAAATTATGTCAAAAGTCCAGAATATTTTAAAACAGAATCTCCCTTAAATATATGGCATTAAAAAAACCCCATGAATATGTACTAGATAATAATGGTTTAATAACTTCTTATCTGAGACAAACAGTATAATTTAATTGGCATTTTTCATTCAATTATTACAAAATTACTATCACAAATACAACTATTGATTTATTACTACTGTAGCCAGTTAAAAAACAGCATTAAAGCCTCATTTACTGATAAAATATTCAGTATTACACATACATTTTTTAGTTTTATTTAAAAATGTTATATTAGAATTTATCACATAACTAGCAATTTATATTAAAATATTGCCTTTTGAAGGGGTATTGTGCATGCTTTTCTATCAACAATGGTTTGGACGGCTAAGCACTGTTAGCATACTTTCAAATAAAGGGAAAACTCAAAGTATAGTCCTTTTCTTAAAGTTCATATTCTATTTTTGAGCAATATTAAAGATAATAGTGCAGTAAATGTTGTCAAAACAAATGCAGAATAATTCAACAGTCCTAGAAACTTGGTCTATTTTTAGGTTCCCAATGCTATTGATGTTAATCAATAGCAAAGAAGAGTCTAAACAATTTTAAGTTCCATCCTGCATTGACTAAAATACGTATAGCACAATAATATTCAACTTACCCTGGAAGAAACTCTGTCCCATGCTTGCTTCACCATAGCTTGATCAAGTGATAATTTACCATCTTTCCTTAATGACTGGGTTACAAGTTCAATCTGTTTCCTTTTTACCTCATACTGTACTCTGAAATGCTTAAATGACTGCACAAAGAGAAAATCATATCAACGTACTACAGAGTCAAAGAATTAAGGGAGTACTACAACCTATGGCAATTTAGAAGCCCTGATCCTTCCTGAAGAATTGTTAACTTTGTATATTTACACTGAAATGCTTTTTATTAAAGGTTTCAATAGGCTGTAGAATTCTCCAGGGAAATATAGGTAGGACTTTGGTATTTCTCTTCAGTTATCAGATGCCTGAACCCTCTGTAAAAGGAAATACTAATTGATCAGATAAACTAGCAAATGGATTAAAAGCTACTTGGGACAGACAGTGGCTGCTTTTAAAGAACAGTCAAGCTTCAGAAGAAAATTTAGGCCAAAATTTGTATTGCTAGTTTAGACATTAACCTTTGAGAGAGGGGTGAAAAATGAAGCTCTAAGTCCTGTCCTCTCCCCTTGTCACCTCATCCAGCCTCCAGTCATACCTCCCCTCTGAGCTATATGACGCAGGGTCTGGAAGGACGGTACAGACACATGCTTGCTTCTAACTAGGACAGTCCTTTTCACACTGCTAGAAAAAGCTCTCTGTCAGGCAAACCATCTGTGCACTGTTCTACGTTACAAAGCTGGAGCTGACATTATAATTCCTCCACCAATAAAAGGCATCCAGTTTGTGTCCTTCTTTCTTTAAACTTCAGAATATTTACTTGCATATATACAGATTGCATAAAATACTGCAGTATATGTTACACGTAATGATGATAATGTCCCTACTGCTTACCTGGTATTTCTCCTGTGGGCTCGTTTCCACCACTTGTGCTCGGGCTATGTCTCTTTCAAATTGTTCTGCCCACACTTTCAGGTCTCTCAGCATCAGTCTGTCTTCTCTCTATGATTTAGTACAGCCACACATACACACACATACAAAGAATCACAGCTTATTAGTAGAGGTTTCAGATATATTCCAGAAATTAACATCTCTCTGGCAAGTCAAGGTCATCAGTTGCAGTGGAGTATTTGGGCCCAATTCTCTGATCACTGAACTTCATATAGTCTAACGGAAAAGTGCTTCCTAAGTGTAAGAAGAGAACACAGCATAGAATCATAGAACAATTCAGGTTGGAAAAGACCCTTGGGATCATTGAGTCCAACCATTAACCCTACACTGTAAGTTCACCCCTAAACCATATTACCCAACACCACATCTAAGCGACACTTGAACACATCCAGGGATGGCGACTCAACCACCTCCCTAGGCAGTCTGTTCCAGTGTCTGACCACTCTTTCTGTGAAGAATGTCTTCCTACTGTCCTGCCTAAACTTGCCCTGTTGCAACTTGAAACCATTCCCCCTGGTTCTGTCCCTAATTATCTATGAGAAGAGACCATCATCAACCTCTCTACAATGTCCTTTCAAGTAACTGTAGAGCAGGATGAGATTCCCTCTCAGCCTCCTCTTTGTCAGACTGAACAGACCCAGCTCCCTCAGTCACTCCTCATAAGGTCTGTTCTCCAGGCCCTTCACCAGCTTTGTTGCTCTCTTCTGCACTCGCTCCAACACCTCGATATCTCTCTTATACTGAAGTGACCAAAACTGAACACAATACTCAAGGCGTGGCCTCACCAGTGATGAGTACAGAGGGACAATCACATGAGTCTTAGAGTGGTGAAATCATGACAAGCTGGGACACTGCAATGTCAGAGATATTACTTGCAGTTCTGATATGATGTTAAATTAACACAAAGTCTTTTAAATATACTTCAACAGCTAATTTTAACCTATCACATATATGCACAGTCAATTTTCAGTAAAAGTTAATTGAGCTGAGACAGCAGAGGATTTTATCATCTTCTACTGCCATTTTATTATCTGGTCTGCTATTGCTGAAAAAGAAGTTATTTTCTGAGCGACTTCAGGGCAATCCTTGACACTAAGCTCCAAGTTCAAAATTTGTCAAAATATTTTGATTGAGAATTTTTTAAAAAGGAAAATTAAAAGAAAGAAAGAAAACTCCTTCCATGCCATGCTTTGAAGAACAGTATATCTATTTTACAGTTTTGCTTTAACACTTCAGTCTGTCATGGCACTGTTGCTTTGCAAGGCTGCATAGTTATCTTCAGAATTCACTCATCTGGCAGTGAACAGAAAAATACCAACAGGAAATCTCAGGTTTGTGAGCATGTCATATGAGAAGGTTAGAAAACTGAAAGTTTTTTTTTGTTCACTGCATAAGCAGGCTAAACCAGTAGGATACAAGTGTCCATCTCGAATTTCTAACCAATGAACCATATATGCTAGCTGTTAATCAGAAGCTGCTCTTTGAAACCAAAGAAACCATATTACTGTGCAATTTGTCAGAAACAGATATAGTACAGTGAATAAATGCAACATCACATCACATGAGTTAATAACCTAAAAGGAGTGATTAAGTTTCAAGCATTACATGAGAGAAGGAAAACTGGAATTTGTGATAAAAAAAATGAATAGATGCTGCCTGTATTTAAGAAATAATGCACTTTTTTTAAAGAAAAGATCCTAACCTGGGAAATGGTTCCTTTCTTTGAAAGTTGCCTCGAATATGTAAAATAAAACTTCCCTTAATTCTCATCCTCAGATAGAAAAGAAACCCTTCCTTGATGTATTTATAATAATTCTCTTACCAATCCTTTATTCAAAACCACAGTGGTAACTGGATAGAATTTGCACAACATATTGTGCAAGTAACACAGGTATTGTGTCTGCTAACTCGTGAGGCAAATTCTTAGCTGGGTAGCTGCAGCGGTGTTAACATGGTATTGGAGCAGCTTTGCTGAAACAAAATTCACTGTGGCTATTACTCCTGTCTTCTGACACTGCAAGTGGGTACCTGAGAAACAGTATAGGACATATACGACACTTCCCTCCTCCAGCTATTTCTAATCCTGGGACTTGACTGCATATAATGTCCCAAGAAGCCAAAACTCCTAGTGCTTCCAAATTCTCATATTATTATAGAGAAGGAGAACAAAATTCTCACTCTTCCGGTCTGACAGTTGGCTCTCTATGGGCAAACATAACCTTGAGATTCTTTGAGTTTAACAGGAAGGCCAGGACTACTCCCCTGTGAGAAGAAGAATATAAGGCAGTGAAAATTTTTAACTCATTTGGGCATCAAAAAAAGAACTTTGGTATTAAATGCACTCCATTCATTAGAAGTTGTAATTTTAGCAAGACTATTGAGATCTTTGTCAGTATTTAGTTGTCAGCTCCACAAAGTCAATACTAAAATAAGCATCTTAATGGATTGAAAGCCTTACAACAGTCCTACTGCCTGAAACTTCAAGTAAGACATTCTTGAAGTCAGGCAGAGAACAAGTGTGTCACAACACTGTGTATACTACTTTTAGTTCACACTATAAATTTAGTTTTGTAAAACACTGGGTTTTATTCCTCTGTGGTTCACGTTCTTATTGCTGAGAAGTACCTCCTTAAGCAAAGACTTTGCAAGGGCATTTGTGTGGCTGTAACTGTTCATAGAGCAATGTGAACAAAATACGTATTTTGCAAGATTCCCAACAACATACCCTAAAAAATTAATAATGGCTAGAACTGGATCTGACCAAATCTTTGAAATAGGATAACACTGGGATCAAGAACAACTCTGTGGTACCTGAAGGTAAAGAACACAGTAATGGTTGTACCTCTCTTAAATCACATACCATTTCTCCGACATTAAGTGAAAAGATAAAGTTAACAGGTGACACTGAGTCTTCTGTGATTTTTTTTCTTTTCACTATTTGGTTAGAAAATTTTTGTTTACTTTGTTCAGCTGCAGATGTAGATGTTTCAGTAACCACCTGAACTGAATGCTGTTACAGTCATTATGCAACAATACATGATAAACATTTTATTAATTTATTCACGTTTTCACATGTTTCCAGTTCCATGAATTACTTATCACCCACAAACTTGGTTCTGTGGTCCTTGACTGATATAAAATTGTTTTAAAGTCTCAGTTTGGGTAACTGACATAAAAGATTCACCTTCTTAGACACCTGTCACCAACATCCCCCAGGTTTAATGAGCTATCATGCTTAAAACAAAATCTGCATTAGTGCCTAGTGATTCTTACACTTCATAAAAAAAAATCAAAAGGATATTCTTACAGATATATAATCTATTTTCTAAAGTCTGCACATCTGAAGCAGTATACAGATCAGAACCTTATCCATTAAAGAAAAGTTACTTAGGATAATGTTAACTATTTGTGCTTTCACCAGCATGATGGTCATTGATCTCTGATCACATTTATTTCAGTTTACCTAAGGCACTATATGACTTATTCTGCATGCTATGGCCAAACAGCATTTAAAAGTCTCAATTTATTTTGACATCATTATATGAATATTCACTGATTTGCAGGGATGAAGAGAACTGGAGCACTCATCTGCCAAAGAACATCAAAGAATATAATGAAAGTGTTTACGAGTTCCAGTATGATAAGGGCACACAATTTAAATTCAAAAAGAAAGTTTTCAGCCCAGACTCAAAGTCAAAACCTTAACTGAAATGCCAGAGTTAATTTGAAAATTACATAATACAGAATAGTGTTTGAAGAGCTAAAAATATACATCTAAATTTCATGAGGAATTTAACTATGAACTGGAAAAGGAGTACTTTCTTGGGTTCTCTAGTATGTAATTATAAACCAGGTTAACTATTAAAATTCTCAGGCAAAAGCAAGACAGAATTCTTACATATGAACTTTTAAATCGAAAAAAAGTCAGTCACCTGTTTGCAGGGACGTCAAAATACTGTATTGCCTATGTGCTGAGAAAATAATTTCCCTTTAAAAATGGTCATACACAAATTCAGTTAATTATGCTATTCCTTTTGAATACTTTGACTTATATATTCCAGTGTTACTGGATATATATACACATATATGTGTTACTGAAACGTGTTCACTGACAACAGTATCTCAGATGCTTGGTGAGTACTAAGCCAAGCATCATCTTCAGGGATGAGCTATTAATGTCTTTCTATAAAAGGAGACAGTAAACCACTGGAAGGGCTCAGGAAGTTATTTTTGCAGCTTCTGCTTAGGAAATTCCTTTTACATTGGGGAACTCTGCTGGCATAAAGATGTTAGAAGTGACAGGATTATCTTCTGAACTACTTGCTCATCAGAGCACAAGAAGAGAAAGGCTTTACATCAGAAATACTTTGAAGGAGTGTGCTTATACCAAGATAAAGAAACTGGCAAAGCTTTTACCACTTCAAATCTTCACTAGCTTAAGCAGCAATGCACTGGGGCTGTGTAAGGCCAAGAATGTACAAAAAGGTCCCATTAAACCTGCCCTAACTTACTTGAATGGATTGAGAAAATTAGAATAATTCTGCTACCAGAATTAATCTTCACTTCAACACATTTCACTAGTCAGATACACACAACATGAGATGAACACCTGATCATACTTACTTGTAAATATTCTATTACTTACACATAAACAGTCATCGCCCACCTCCTCTGTACATATACAGAAAAATGAGTGTGGAACCAAGGTGATTAATTGGATCAGGTCAAACTACAACCACTACTGACTTACTGCAGTGACACCTGTTATTTGTTTCATAATATATTCAGTTCTGCAGTCTTCCAGTCTCACCTCTGAATGTTCATTTCAAACACTCCACGTTAGATTTCTGAAATTCTCTCAGTTAATACTAGAAAATTATATACGTAAAGATGTCCAAGATGATTAAAAAACTGTATTTTAAAAAACACAATTTATGTGAAAAAAGGATCAGTGCATATCATGCAATTACACATGAATGCTCTCTCCTTCCAACCCACGGTCCACATACATCACTTACACAATCATATATACAATCTAGTATCTACTCTATAGATCTAAAGACACAAAAATATCCATCTAAAATGAGACTAGATGAGTAGAAACATTGATCTATAATCTATTTTTTCATGTTTATACCTTAGAAAACCAAAAGCATAGTCTGAGATTTATTATAGGAAAGTTGGCTTGCTTTTCTATAATACTTCTGTGAAATTATTTGCAAAATTAAGCATTAGGCTGTTAGGATCAGCTCACATAAGAAAGTGGACTTAGACTCATTATATTAATCTATTTGCTTTTTTGGAAAGATTAACTTAAGGATAGCAAATCAATGTACATAAAACCACCCAAAATCTAAAGTCAAGTAAGTGCAGGATAAAAACAGGTAACAAGCATGAAAGGTCGAATTCAAGCAATTATTCTGGAGCATATTACCCTTACCTTAAATTTCATAAAAGAAATGAGAAAAGTTGGGACTGCTTGAAGTTCCTAGCAATATGAAACAAATGGGAAAACAAGAAGGAAAAAAAAACAGAAGCAAACAAAATAAACCAAAGCAGGCAGAAAGTCCAGAGAGAACAGTAAAAGAGCCAGATGTGTAAGAACACAAGATGTACTTTAATATCATCAAGTTCACATGTCTGTATCATACCTAGTGAACTAGTTTTTGTATTAGATCTGATTTTCAGATTATTATTCACTGTATGATTTATTTTATCTGGAAAAATAGTTACTTACCTCAGAATAACTGATTCTTTGAGATGTGTTGACTACACAAGTTCACATACATGCATAGCTTGTCCATGCATGAGATATTAGATACCTTTCAATTCTGGAAATGCACATGCAAATTGCTGTTCCCTCTGACCACAAATAAGGGACAAGTTTCAGTCATCACTCCACTTTTTCCAGTGGAAGTTCCTTATAAACTGAACATTAAATCAGGAGGGAAGATGAACTGGAATTTGTGTGGACCACACATCTTGAGTACACACAGTGGTAGCTGAGATGGCTGGATGGCAGGGGGAGAGGATTAGAAATCCTTTCCCCTGCCCCATCAAAATCCACCCAGACAAACTCCACACTGAAGGAAGAGTCTTCTAACTAAATGTACACATGAGAAACTGCGATAGTCACCCTTTCAGTTCTTGACGGACAGGGAAAAAGTAACAGTTGCTTCTAGCATTTACTGCCCAACTCATTCTACAGCAGGCACTTATCACAAGTCAGACAGAATACATCCTAGAAGTGCTTAATTTTGAAAAACAAGAAATTAAGATTACCCTCAGAGTTTAAGGGATAGGAGTCATGCAAGGTTATCTCTCCCAGGTACCTGGATTCCACCACTCTATGTTATATATTTCTTTATACTAGACTTCAGGGAGAAGACAGAAGGGCTAAGAATAAGGGGAATATACTGGTCACAAAAGTTGGCATGTCTGGATTTCTTTTTAATAAGTTGCCAACAACATTTTAGCTATCATTACCTAAGGGAAAGATTCATCTGAGTCGGTTTCAACTCTGTTGAAATGCTACGCAACATGAACTTCCAGAAGACTGTTTATTTAGGACATCATCCTAAGAAAGGTTCCATCTGGAAGAAATCTCTTGCTGATTACAGGAGGACTGTAAGTACCTAGCTTTTAGATTCCTAAAGATGGATGAATCCTGTCCTAAAAAACTAAATTAACCAAATAATGCAAAATTCCTAAGAAAAGCTTTATGATGGACATAGATACTCCAGGTCAGTTAGAGGGAAGAAGGAGGCAAAAGATACTGTTCTACCTCGCACTGTTAGCTATGGTGTTCAAAAGGGCATCCAAGTCACTTACATGGTTTCCACAAAACACAAAAGGAGTATTTTAAAATGAACTGATCTCACGTGTTCGGTTTGATCTTGCATACGTTTGTAGACCTAGAGGAGAACTTGTGGACAACACTTTTTGAAAGATAATAAACGAATTTTCAATCTAAATGGATTACACAGTCACACAAATATCTTGTATCTGATCCACTGCTGACTCTGTGCACTGAGAAGTACTCTCGCCTTTACATGTTTTCTAGCCAATTAATTTAGCAAGGCGAATATTAGAATAACCATAGGTGCAGAAAGGGATTAAAAAAAGGTACTCAAATGGCTTGAGTGGTCAAGAATGTCAGTTGCCATCCTATGATTCCAAGAAGTCATTTCTACTAATACCAGATTTCCCTTAAACTTGTTTCCTTAAGTAATAAAGAAAATAGTTCTTGCTCTTATAAATAGAACCCACTTTTCTATTTTTTTCAAGGAATTTAAACCTCCATTCTTGTATGATACCATTTAGAAAAGAGCATTTCACACTTGTATCGCAAGACGTCTACTGTTGCTGTCTCATTTTAAAAAAAAATCTTAAATATATCAACTATGCTGTTAATCTCAATAATTGCAGAATCACAGAATGGTTGAGGCTGAAAGGAACCTCTGGAGGTAATCTGGTTCAAACCTCCTGCTCACGCAGGAACATCTAAAGCCAGCTGCCCAGGACCACGTCCAGATGGCTTTTGAACACCTCCAATGATGAAGGCACCTCTCTAGTCAACCTGTACCAATCCACAGTTACCCTCACGGTGAAAAAGTGTTTCCTGATGTTCAGAGGGAACCTCCTGTGTTTCACCGTGCCCAAAGGGTCACTGGGCACCACTAAGAAACTCTGGCTCCACTCTCCTTGTACCCTCCTTTCAAGTGTTTAGATGCATTGATAAGACCTCGCTGAGCCTTCTCTTTTCTGGGCTGAACAGACAAAGCTCTCTCAGCCTCTCCTCATAGGAGAGATGCTCCAGTCCCTTCATCATCCTTGTCCTTTGATAGACTCTCTTCAGTATGTCCAGGTCTCTTGTACTGAGGAGCCCAGAGCTGGACACAGTGTTCAAGGGGTGGCCATACCAGTCGGCAACCTCCCTTGTTCTGCTAGCAACACCATCAATTTTCATCTGCTCTTGTGAAAGCCTTACTTAACCTAGTGATTTATATGATCTTAATTTTCACCAGCTCATATACAGTTAAGAATTTGGGCTAAATGATGTGAAAGCACTCAGTGGGGAAAAAAAAACCAAACCCACATGATAAACATTCAAATAGATTTTTTTTTTCAATTTTCCCTTCAAATACTACATAAATATGGAATGCAATACTTATGTCTATATATGTTTAAAGCACACTGTTGGATTTACAGTACTAGAATATCTCCGTATGTAGCATTTAATATCAATGACACTCATATTTTGCCAAGGATTATCTGGATATCTTGTCACATCTAGGTATCCTGCAGTCAACATGATCAACTGCATTAGCTCCTGGTTTCTTTCCCTCTCCACTCCAGAACTGTGTAAACTAAGTTCCTAATATTTGTTAGACTTTTTATACTACAGTCTGCCAAACTCATCGTTATGATTTTCTTGAGAATAGATAAAACATTTTAAAATGCAAGCTGTGAGTATGAGTAATTTTATTATCTGCTGACAGACTCTCCCTGAAAAGTCCTAACTAAAGCAGCTGAGTGCAAAATAAGCTTGTCTCTGTGATATATGACAGAAATACAGAAGTTTAGAATAATAAAAGACCAAAGTATGCTGAAATTTTAGCTGTTTGAGAGCTTATATCTGTCCAGTCCCAAATAGATGAAAGCACTGTTATGTTTTTTCTACATATTTCACTGTTTCAGGGTCAGTGACTACCTGAGGTCCTGGACTTTTTGTGCACTGCTGCTGGCCTAGATCTATTCAGATCTCTTTCCCATCAAACTATCACATGCCACGGAGTCATCGTTTTGTACCATGACCGTAGGTGAGGCAACTGGAAGTTATGTGGACAGGACTAGGGAGCAAGGTATTGAGTGGGATATAGGTGCCTGATAGGGATTAGAATTTCTCCAGAGGTGGATTAGCAGAAATTTTGTTAGAAAAAAATGTGAGCCCCATTGCTATTCTTGACTGGACACTCCACTGCAGAAATAGGAGTCTGTCTCAAACTGGCAGTCACCCCATCAGGGGTGTGAGAAGGAATATAATTCTTCCTCAGGGAAATGAAGAATGATGACATTGGAAAATTAGTGCAATGTCAAACTCTTGTTTTCTTTTCATAGTCTGGGAGTTATTGATTTCTGCAGTGTGACATGAAGTGGACCACTGATTCTACCAAAATTCACCTGGATTGCTACTGGAATATTTTAGCAATATCTAGGAAGAGGAAGCGGTCATGATCTAAGCATGTCAAACTGATGAATTTGTACTATTTCACTTCCTAGTAATTAACTGGAAATTCTGGAGGCAACTCAATAGTTTTTCTTTTCATAGCTCTTGTGCTATCATCTCTGCGTATAGCCAGAGGCAGGCAGAACATGGACTGGCTGAGTCCTCCATTCTCCTGCAAAAAGCTCAGGAGAAGGTGGTGAGGCTGTTCCTCAAAACGCACTCTCAGCACAGGCAGGTGACCTGGCCAAGGCTGTTGGCAGCAGAAAGTGCGTTGTGTGCCATGGTATGGAGATGACCTGACTGCGTCAGCCTGCTACAAGACACAGCGTGAGGCTTCAGCGCGCACTCCGTCTGATTCAGCTCAGTGGGATGCTGTGGTGTCAGCACATGTATGTCCTCAAGACTAGCATTCCAGCAAGGAAAATAAGAAATTCCAGTGCTCAGGCACTGAAATCAGATAGCAGAGCTACAACTGCCTTAGTCACACATAGCTATAAGGAAGGAGAGATTCACTCCTTTCAAAGCTCTTCTATAGCTCTTTAGCGAATGTAAAGAAACACAGATAAAAAGTGCTTCCTCTTTCTCTCTTGCTGGGCCTGAGCAGATTGTCTCAGCAGTGTTTCCTGTGTTTGCCATGAGGAAAGCAAATGATCAGGATTAGGAAGTGAGTCATGACAATTTGGCATCACTGAGTATAGTCATTCTAGTGCAAAGTCAATGCACTATAGCATACACAAGGCAAAAAATAAAAATGAAAATTGAAAACAATTCCTTAGAGCAAATAGTGAAACACCACCATGTGATACAAAGAAACCTGTGTCAAAATTGTCTCCCAGGCCCAAAAGCCCAAAGACTACACCTAAGCAATCTCTCAGACGATTGTTCTCATCCAGAAACTCAGTGTGATAGAAAGAGAAGTAACACGTTGCTTCAGGTAACAAATTATTGCAATCTCACAAATCACAGAACCACAGAATGTTAGGGGTGGGAAGGGACCTCAAAAGATCATCTAGTCCAGCCCCCCTGCCAGAGCAGGATCACCTACAGTAGGTCACACAGGAACGCGTCCAGGCAGGTTTTGAATGTCTCCAGAGAAGGAGACTCCACAACCTCCCTGGGCAGCCTGTGCCAGTGCTCTGTCACCCTTACAGTGAAAAAGTTTTTTCTAATATTTTTATGGAACCTCCTATGTTCCAGCTTGTACACATTGCCCCTTGCCCTGTCATTGGACATCGCTGAAAAGAGCCTGGTGACCAATCTCATTGGTGTTGGGCTTGAAAACCTCTTAGGGAACCTTAGGATCCATTGGTTTGCTACTATCTACAAGTACTGTTTGTGTTCTTTTCGGCTGCTACTGCTGAAAATAGGAAAATCTCTGCAGAATCATCAGCCCATTTTCTTCATCTGCTAATAAACATCCCCAACACTGATTCCTTTATTCTCAGCTACTGTTTCCCAGTTTTCTTACTGTGGTTGCTTTTCACTTGAACTGCTTATCAAATGGAAACGCAATAAACTATAAGAAAGCTAGAAAATGTATTTATAAAGACCCCGTCATGATAAATTTGGTTCTTATCGTTGCAAAAGAGAAACTTACATCATTCTCCTGCACATCAGTCACTGTATGATGAGGATCAGGATAGTACTTCAAAAACTGCGCTACGTAAGTCATGATAGACTTTTCATCTGGCTTGTCAACATCCACATCTAGAAAAGTACAGGACACTGTAAATTAGTTTTTAGCTAAATGGCATAAAAAACTGCTTAAATATCTAAACACTATGAACAGTAACTCATGCAAATAGTTCAAACTTTTTTCAACTAAGCATTGCACACCTTCTGGATCAAGCAGCCTTGGAATTCCTAACTCTGCTTCTGCGAGTGTGAAGGCTTCTTCCAGGTTTTCTCTATTTGACCTTCCTCTCACTTTCTCCATGTCCACTAAATCTGGGCGAATAGCATGAATAACAGAATGAAATGCCACACCACTCCTCCAACTTTGTCCAAAATCTTTGATTTCAATTCCAACTTGCCTAAAGAATATGAAAGAAAAAAAAAAAGATGACTTGCAACAACATCAGTACTAGAAGAAATAGAGGAGGAGGCAGGATGTACCACCCAGTGACTATCCGTTATTAAACAATTTGTTGATCCTGCAATGCTAAGCAGGTCAACTACAGCTCTCTCAATCCACTGCATCAATTCATTTCTGCCTATGAAGATACAAGGGTTTTTTGTCATATACATACTGTATTTATCACTATTGGGCTTGCTAGTGGCAATAAACAACCAGTACTTTGAACAAATTAAATGCACCAAGGTTTTCAAGGCTCTTGTACAACACACACAGTCTGTGGACGTAGGCAACCCTATTCACTTATTTTCTCCATCACTATAAAGCATTTGATATCTCCTTCCATGTTAACTAGTGCAGTTCAGTTTTAGGTACATCAGTATCATACAAAGAAAAAAAAAAGACTCCAATCATCTGTTATCTTTTAAATTAAAGCATCAACAATGACATCACTGCTGTTCAGATTAAATGTAACACGCACACTTCTTTATATTCTTACCAAAAGCATGAATACTACTATCATTTCATACACCCAGAACACTAAGGTATCCACTGCAAAATTACACAGAATCACAGAATGTTAGGGGTGGGAAGGGACCTCAAAAGATCATCTAGTCCAGCCCCCCTGCCAGAGCAGGACCACCTACAGTAGGTCACACAGGAACGCGTCCAGGCAGGTTTTGAATGTCTCCAGAGAAGGAGACTCCACAACCTCCCTGGGTAGCCTGTGCCAGTGCTCTGTCACCCTCACAGTGAAAAAGCTTTTCCTAATATTTCTGTGGAACCTCCTATGTACCAGCTTGAACCTATTGCCCCTTGTCCTGTCATTGGACATCACTGAGAAGAGCCTGTCTCCATCCTCCTGACACTCCACTTTGACATATTTATAAACATTTACAAGGTCACCCCTCAGCCTCTTCTTCTCCAAGCTGAAGAGACCCAGCTCCTTCAGTCTTTCCTCATAAGGGAGATGTTCCACTCCCTTCATCATCTTTGTGGCTCTGCGCTGGACTCTCTCAAGCAGTTCCCTGTCCTTCTCGAGCTGAGTGGCCCAGAACTTGTCACAAGATTCCAGATGTGGCCTCACCATGGTAGAGTAGAGGGGCAGGAGAATCTCTCTCGACCTACTAGCCACACCCTTTCTAACACACCTCAGGATGCCATTGGTCTTCTTGGCCACATTACTGGCTCATGGGCATCCTGCTGTGCATCAGGACCCTCAGGTCCCTTTCTCCTATGCTGCTCTCCAGCAGGTCAGTTCCCAACCTGTACTGGAACAGTTTTTTCTCAGTTGTAAGCCTCTACACTTGCCCTTGTTGAACTTCATAAAATTTCTCCCCGATCAATTCTCCAGCCTGTCCAGGTCTCGCTGAATGGCAGCACAGCCTTCTGGTGTGTCAGCCACTCCTCCCAGTTTCATCATCAGCAAACCTGCCAACAGTGCACTCTATTCCCTCATCCAGGTCGTTGATGAATATATCGAATAGTACTGGTCCCCGCTCCTCCTTCCATGATCTATAGACCCTCTTCTCCCACTTGAGTTTGCCCAGCAGTTCCCTGTTTAACCACATGGGTTTCCTGGTGCTCTTTCTTGATATCCTACTCATTGGGATGCACTGGACCCCTTGGAAGAAGGGGTCCTTGAATATTAACCAACTATCTTGGGCCCCTTTACCTTCTAGTACCCTGTCCCATGGGATTTTCCCTAGCAATTGCTTGAAAAGGCCAAAGCTGGTCCTGCTGA